TCCTCCTTCCTCCCTCCCCTCCCTTCTCGTCCTTCTCCTCCCCTCCCTTCTCCTCCTTCTCCCTCCCCTCCCTTCTCCTCCTTCTCCTCCCCTCCCTTCTCATCTCTTCTGCCACTCCCTCCCTCTTCCTCTCCCCCTCTCCTCCCCTCCTGCTCCTCTATCTTTTCTGGGATCGCCCACTGCCTCTGCCTTCTTCTGTCTTCCCAATTCCCTCCTCTCCCTCCTCCCCTTCACGCATCCTAGTATCCTTAACTCCTCGTCTCCTCTCACTGTCCTCTTGATGCCCTTTATTCTTCCTCTCCCCCCCTCCCCTCCTCCTCTTGATCTCTTTCCTCCTCCTGTCCTTCTTTCGCACCTCCTTCATCTCTTGCGGCCAGGCTTCAGGGATGCACATCGGATTGTCTGTCAACAAACGTGTCAACGACGCTGATTTCGAGCGGACTATGTCGGTGGATACATCGACAGACACCAGTGAACGACAAGGCAAGGGGAGACGGAAGGAGGAAGGATTGGGGGAGGCGGGGAGAGGAGGAGATAAAGGAGGAAGAAATGGAGGAGGAAGAGATAGGAGGAGGTGGTGTGGAGAAGTAGGAGATAATGGAGATAGAGGAGCAGGAGGAGCAGGAGATAGAGGAGAAGGAGGAGCAGGAGATAGAGGAGAAGGAGAAGGAGCAGGAGCAGAGAATCATTAATCCGATGCTGATTTACCGAGAAGTTCAGAAGCCTCTTGAGCCAAGTGCTTGAATCCAACGTCTTGCCCTGCCGTCAGACTTTTAAATGCCCTCCACCAGCTGCTTGTCCCCTTCCTACTCCTCCTCTCCTCCTCCTCCTCCTCCTCCTCCTCCTCCTCCTCCTCCTCCTCCTCCTCCTCTGCGTCACCGTCTTCGATGTTTCCTGTCTCAGGCAGATAAAGTTCCCAGTCCACAAACTGCCAGCGAGTCAGGCGGGGGATTCGCAACATCGCCAGTCACTTTGGGCTTCGGCAGCCCCAGCACGTCGGATGTGATGAGCTGGTAATCCAGCTCCCCGTCTGACAAGTCAAAGGTCACGAGTGATGAGCGTGCTCTAGAGTCAAGCTCTAGAGCGAGACTCAATCCCTCACCTCCAGCTTCTTCTTCACAGCCCCCAACGAGCTGAGAATCTTCTGCACGCCACAAGCTCACACATGGAGTTCAAGAGCAAAAGTCTCAACATCGAGCTCTTCGTCGCTGGTCTTGCCCTTGGAATAGTCCAGCAGATCGTTTTCGTCTTCCTCCTGATGTGCCACCATCATGTCAATGACGGTCAAGTCGCAGTCAAGGTCATCATCATCGACGTCTATCAACTCAAATCTTCATGTCATACCCAGTGATGCTGGAAGAAAGCCTTCTGTTCGTCTGCCACTTGTTTCTTGAGGTCTTCTTCTTCCTTCTCAATGCTAATGAGCTAACATCAAGTCAGGATCTCCCCTCAACAAGGTATCAAGACACAACATCTTGTTGCAGTTGAACAAGCCTTCTTTCCAACACTTCCTTGTCGGCGTCTTTGGTATCGAGCGCCTGATAGCACGTCACTGTTTGTTTGATCCATGGACTGGTCTCAACCTGGTCGCGGAGTTTCTTTACTCGCCCTCGCAGCTCACTCACACTCTGAATCCAATGTTCCACCGCCG